ATTTGCATACTAAATAATTTTTTTTTATTGTTTTATGATTTATTTAAAAAAACACGGTGCTCCATTTCATGCAAACAGTATAAATATTCACATGTTGGCTCAGTCAGGTGTTTCACAACAATTGTTAAATACATAATGTATTTGGTGACGTTTAATGGAAACCTTTAAACAATTTAAGTTGTTTTTCAACATCAAAATTGATCAAATTATAAAAGAACAATGGTTTTGTTGCTTCTTAAAATATTTAAACGAAATATATTTTCATATTCATTGGAGGTAATTACAAACATAAAGAGCATAAATATCCAACGGAATAAATGTGAAATAAAATTCTATTTTTTCCAAAAACCACTTCAAAATTATTGTTATTCGACCATTTGCCAGCCATTAAAGCGATTTTGTTTTCAGATATTTATGTTTATAACTTTGAATCGCATATTCATATTTTCAATTGTTTTTTGAATTATTTTATTATATTTCTTTGTTGGAATTTAAGTTCACTTTTTATTGTTGTGGTTTGTTATTTAAAGACATTAGTAAACAATTTAAATTTATAAAATAGTAACAAAATGTATTGGACCATAATACAATAGCTAATCTGATTTACTCTTCATCGCAATGTGTTAACTTTTTGACAAATATTTGTGTATTAGAACACACACACATACATGAGTACATACATACATACATATGTATGTATCTATATACATAAAACAATGAGTTATTGCTGATTCAGTAAAATTGGGGTAGATATAAAAACTTGTAAAACTTTAACAATTTTTGCATTTATTGTCAGTATATATTTACTTAGTAGGATTAGTAGTTAGACTTAGTATAAAAAACCAGTAAAGAAAGTCTTAAAGACGGGCGGGCCGACTTTATGATACCCTACACCACTTTGCTAATTTAGTAGAGCTCCTCATAAAAATTAAAAGTTTTTATGGGAGAATTCAATCATACACGCTATGATTATAATTATAATTTAAAGTTCAAAGGACTAAATATGCCGAAGCATTTGTATCTTTTAAATTCGGACTTGTATTGCCCATTTGGTGCAAAATTAATTTGAAATCCGATAAAGATATATATGGGAGCTATATCCAAATCTGAACCGATCTCGATAAAATTTGGCAAAGATATTTGTGAGCTGTATTTGATATATTTCCCTGAATATCATTGTTACGGAGTGCATACTACGGCTGTGGGTAACAAATATGACAAATCGGATGAACATTATATATGGGAGCTATAGCTATATCTGAACCGATCTTCACCAAATTTGACATACTACCTTCTAGACTAAATTCGATCCTAGTTGCCAAATTCCATCCCATTTGGATTCTGTCCCTGTATTTTTGTAAACAAAGTACAGGTCGCATTTATTGCCCGATCCAGATGAAATTTTGCAAAGGCCTTTTGTTTGGCCCAAGGACGAACCCTATTGAAATTGGAGATAATCGGTCAAAATTTAGATATAGCTCCCATATATATCTTTGTCCGATTTGCCTTTTATTGTGCACCAAACGTGTAATATCAGCCCGAATTTTATGGAATTTTGCATATACACCCAAATTAGGCCTGAAAATATGTATGCCAAATTTGATCGAAATCGGTTCAGATATAGATATAGCTCCCATATATATTGTTCATCCGATTTGTTATTTTTGTCCACCGCCGCCGTAATATGCACTCTGTCACAACAATATTTGGGGAAATATATCAAATGCAGCTCAGAAATACATTTTCTAAATTTTATGGAGATCGGTTCAGATTTGGATATAGCTTCCAGATATAACTTCGTCCGATTTACCTTTTTTTGTGCACCAAACGTCTAATATTTGTCCAAATGTGATGGAATTTGGCACTTACGACCGAATTGAGCCTAGAAGCTAGTGTGTCAAATTTGGTGAAGATATAACTATAGATTCCATATATATTATTCATCCGATTTGTTATATTTGTTACCCACAACCGTAATATGCACGATATTCAGGGAAATATATCAAATACAGCTCAAAATATATCAAATACAGCTCAGCCAAATTTTATCGAGATCGGTTCAAATTTGGATATAGCTCCCATATATATATCTTAATCCGATTTCAAATTAATTGTGCACCAAATGGGCAATACAATTCCGAATTTAAAAGATACAAATGCTTCGGCATATTTAGTCCTTTGAACTTTAAATTATAATTATAACCATAGCGTGTATGATTGAATTCTCCCAAAAAAACTTTTAATTGTTATGTGGAGCTCAACTTAATTAGCAAAATGGTGTAGGGTATCATAAAGTCGGCCCCGCCCGACTTTAAGACTTTCTTTACTGGTTATATCTAAATATGTTAACATAAAATAAATAATGAAAAGTAGATGATCAAAACAGATTGGGTTGTTGTGTTTTTTTCTTTGTTTAGTTTTGACATTTAAAGAACACTACATGTTAAATACTAATTATACAGAAAGTAATAATGAAATTTAACTTAGAAAAGCAACAATTGACATCGAATCGATGAATATGGTAAATTTATTACGAATAAAAATTGTCTTTATATAACAACTTTAATAATATTTTCTTCAGATAGATATTCGGTTGAATATGCAAAAGTCTATCCAATCTGATATTATACACAGAATGAACAATATATCCATATGCTGCACAATAAACGTGAAATAAGTCGAAGATATATATATGGGAGCTATATCCAAATCTCGATGAAATTTGGAATAGCTATTGCTGGACTGTATCCGTATCGGGTACCAAATATCATCCTTGTGGAGTGCATATTACGAATGTGAAGGACTTAAACACCAAATTGGATGAAACATATATATGGGAGATATAGCTATATCTGAATAGAATTTCACCAAATTTGATATACTTGCTTCTAGACTGAATTCGGTCGGATGTGCCTAAATTCAATTTATTTTGTTCACAAAAAAAACAAAATTGTATGTTATATTACGAAAAGGCAATAATTTTGTTTTGCAAGTATTTTCTTTATTTTAAGGGTGATTTTTAATTATTTTTGGCAACACTGGCTTAAAAAATTAACGCTCTTTTTTGTGTTTTGTTTCACTGTCAAACTGTTTAATCTATAATTTAACCATGAACCGTCTTACAAACGAACAACCGTCCTGCAAAACATTAGATTTTATTATCAAAATGCGTGTGCTCATAGAAAGTTCTTCGCGCTCTTCTTCCAGCTCATTTTTGGCTCAATGGATATGTTAATAAACAGAGTTGTCTATTTTTAAATGAAAATCAAAAATAATCACAGTTTTGTGTGGTTTATGGACAGATTATATCATTTGACTGTACTTCTTCAAATATGCTCCGAACTTCTTCAAATATGCTGTCACACAGCAAGCATAACAATATTGCATTTCACGTTCAGGACAGATCAATTGGCGGCCTAGATCATCCGATGTACCACCTTTAGACTTTTTGTGGGGCTATGGTCATGTCTTGATTTCTCGCTTCAATTGACGCATTGGAAGACAACATTAAAGTTTTTAAACATACCGGCCGAAATGTTAGAAAGAACATGCCAAAATTGCACTAAGCGGATGGACCAGTTAAGGCGCAGTCGCGGTTAAGATTTGCATGAAATAATCTTTAAACATTTAAACATCAAATAAAAATTCCATGCTTTTTCTGAAGTGTTTTATTTTTCAAAAACTTTTCTATAGCTATCAAAAAATCACCCTTTGTATGTTTTTTTTTTCTGTGGTAACTTATGGTGAAATTTGATGGAGAACATTTTTGTCTCTGACGTCATTCTTCTGAAATTATGTTTTGTAGGAGAACTTTATAAAAATATATGTGAACTACGATTTCAATCTTAAAATGTGTTTTTGATATTTAAAAGTTCCTGGCGTTTTGGAATGATTTAGAGTCTTGATGAATCCTTAGAATTATATGACAAATATTTTTTTGAGTTATATGGCCCCGTTTAAAGGAAGGTTTTGACCATATTTTGCAAAAGGGTCCAAAAGACCCCTTTTGGTGATTTGTTTGAGCGTTCAAATGTTAAACCAAAATAATTCTCGTGCTATTATCAGTAATAATGGCAATGACACAATTTACTTAAAATGTTAGGATTTCAAGGAATCTTAACCTGAAAAATTTCGAATAATGTGTAAGAGGGAGAAAACCTGCCCATTCTATGTAGGTTATTTTGCGATATTTTCTTTCAAAATAAGGTACCTCAAATTTAGATAGTTCAACAATTTCTAGCAGAAAAATCGAAAATTTTAAAATTATTTTTTTCAGTAGAAGAATATAACCCTATTTTTTATAAGTTCCCAGTATAACACAATTTTAAAAACACTTATTTAAATCTGAAAATATTAATAGATGGAAAATTGCTCATTATGAGCATAGAGTCTATAAAATTTCTTAACAAAACTCACATAGGGTGTGTACCATTGTCAGTTCATCTCATCTCGATTTGCTTTAAACGCTTTTTTGATTACGAATTACCATATCTTTCTTTAGATAATAGCATCTTTAAAGTGTTATTGCTCTGAAATAAGGTGTTAATAAAATGTTATCTTCAATATGTGTGTTTATATTGTTATAAAAGTGAGGATACATCTTATCTTATTTACAATGGGAATTGTTAAGACATTGGGGTAGGTAGAAATAATTTTTTAGAAAAAGAAATTAACACTAGAATGGAAAATTTTACGATTTATAGAAATCTATATTTTTTATAGTTATAAGCTTTTGAGTGTTGTATTGTGTGGTTATTTATAACCTCATTGTTAGGAATTCGTGACTTAATCTAATCTTTGCAACCAGTTAGGAGTAGGGCTTAATAATTGTTCCATTATTCCATTGAAAGTGTTGGACTAATTACATTTGTCATCTTAATCTAGAGAAGTTCCGATTGTACTATTGTACTATTTGTATAGTCGTGTTTTTAGTTTATTTATATCTCAGGTCAATTTAGTATAACTCATTAATTAATTTAATAAATTTATATTTTTTCCAGAGATCGCTTTCGAACACGCCGTAGAGCATCGATTGCCCCATTGCCAGCCCTGCGTTTAAACAACAAAGAAATGTTGGCCAGTGATTTTGACTCGTACAGTGTGGCCAGTAATCAGGCCTCAATAACAAGTGTAAATTCTTTGGCCAGTTTGCTAAGAGAGAAAATGCAGGTAAGTTTTAGAAGAGTTGAATGTTCAAACACATTCGATTTACTTAAAATTGTGTTTCTTCTTCGTAGGCCTTCCCACAAATGATAAGGAAAAAGAAACGGGAAACCAAGGATTATAAAATTAAAATATTTGTCATAATTATGTTCTTTATGATTATATTTTTGGTAAGTAATGTTATTTATTTATTTTGTTTTAATTTAAAATAATGAGATAGCACTTTTAGTGGAATATTCGCTAAAAGGGCAATTCCAATAGGTTATTTGATAAGAATATCATACAGGGTTGCCCATATTCGACGTACCCATCTGGCAACGCCATAACTTTTGACAGAGATGTCACATCGCTCAATGACATACCACGTTTGAAGCGTCAGTCCAAGCAGATTTTTACCATGAACCAATGCATGCCACGCGAGCGCTCTGAAATAGTTGAAATTTAAAAGAAGTCAATTGTGAAAACTCAACGTGCTTGTAAAACATTAAAAAATGTGAGAAGTGCGCCTTCTAAGAACACCATTAAGCGTTTATACGAAAAATTTTCGACGGGTAATCCGAAGAGGCCATATAAAAGTCGATCAAGGCGATCGGCCGAGAATATCGCTGCCATACGAGCCAGTGTTGAGAGGTTCCCAAGAACATCCCAAAAACGCCGTTCTCAGCAGTTGGGCATGGCTCGGTGCACTTTACAACGGATTATTCGCATTGATTTGCATTTGTTCCCGTACAAAATTCAATTGACGCAAAGAATGTTGCCTGCGGACAAGCCTCGTCGATTGGAAAATTTAAAAAAAAAACATGGGTCCGTCGAGTATGGGCAACCCTGTACATATAAGAATATTTCTAGGATTAGAAATAAAAACATATTTTACATATCTATTGTGTGGGTTCATATTACAAGCGTCAATGAGGATATAAAGTTCTTATGAAGTTTTCTAAGGGCATGAGAAACCTAAATGCCATATAATCACCAAACGGTCTCACGCTGCCCGAATGTTGCTCCGCGGCATTTTGACCCATTCCCCGCGAAGCGCTTGCTTTAGGTGATCGACACTTTGTTATTTTTTAGTACCAACCTTGCTTTCCAAAATACACCAGACACAATAGTCCAACGGATTGGTATCCGGAGACTTTGGTGGCCATTGTGCGCTGGAAATTAAGCGAGGAACCTCGTTTTGTAACCATTCTGTTGGAATGTCCTGTTGGAATGTCCAAGCCCTGCGGCCAAAATGTTTGAGTGTCCAAGGCTTTAATACACCCTCCAGATTAATTTCGCGATAATATTCGGCATTTATTCTGATGTCAAGGTCGATTAATACGAGCGGAGAGCGACCATCGGCTGTTATGGCGGCCCACACCATCACCATAGCCGGCGCTTGGGTTCTGGTGGCCAACCGAAGGCGCACATTTTCAGCTGACCTCTTTGGCAAGCAAACACGATCACTTTGTTAGTTTACAAACTGCTGGACAATGAATGTTTTCTCATTGGAGAAAACTAAATTCGGCAGTTCATCACTTTCGGCTGAGCGAAGCCACTCTTTACCTGTTTTAAGCCTATTTTCTTTCTGTTGCGGTGTAAGTTCTTGCACTTTTTGGAATTTCAATTGCTTTATCCAGAGCTCAATTTTCAATATTTGCCGAATGGAATATTGTGATATGTTCAGCTCACGTGCCATTTTTCGGCCACGGGTTACGATCAAGTCGCTTATTTACTTTTCGAACCATTTCTGCTGATGTTGCTGTTTTCTTCCGTCCACTTCCTCGACGTCGGGGTACGCAACCAGTATCACGGTAATGAGCGATGGTACGAGACACAAAACGATAGCCACTTGTGGTTTTCCAGCCAAATGCAAAGAAATCAAACTATCACGTTTGAATTCTATCACGAATAACTTTTTTTTCTGGAAAATTCTCACCAAAATGCTTTGGAACGCTAGTAAACGATATAATGAGCTGTCACTGGAATAATTTTAACAGCTGTCGAACGAGTGGTTTAGAAATGACAGCAATCTATTTGGTAAGAATCGGTAAAAATTTAGATATAGCTCCGATATATCTTGAGACGGTTTCGAGTTAATTGTACACCAAATGACCAATATCAGTCCAAATGATCTGGCACATCCGACTGAATTCGTCATAGAAACAAGTACTTCGAATTTGGAGAAAATCGGTTAATTTAATATTTGAAGATTATTTCATGAAAATGTTCACCGCTACTACAACCCAAATTGTCCATTAGCTTAGTCCAATTTCGGCACACTCTTTTCAACATTTCGGCCTGTATCTTCAATGTTGTTTTCATATGCAGCAATTAATTTTTCGCAAATTGTTTAAAATTTTCAAGTTCCTTCCAAATGGTGGAGGGTATTAAAAGTTCGACCTAGCGAACTTAGCTTTAACTTGTTTTTTTTTAATCAACTATTTAACTAGCTATTCTTAATTATTTTCTCAATTATCTCCCATATCATTAATATTCTCTCTCTCCCTCTCTTGCAGATTGGCTTCGCTTATGTCGGTTACCATCGGAAAATTTTGACCTATTCGTATTTTGAAAAAATCAAATTCAATAGCAACGATCGTATACTAAGAATTTTGAGTCACGACGAGAGAGAGGTGATATCCGGTCTATTGGGCAAGACAATAGGCATGGATAATAAACCCTATCACTGTTTGGAGGATCACCGGAAACAGGATGGTAGCGTTTGCATCGAATGGAATGGCATAGCACGACTGTATATGAATTTCCAGGATATGGATGTGTTCCGTTGTTACACCATCAATTGGCAATCGTTGAGTCCGGGAAATCATCCCACCGATTGTTATGAGTTGCAGAGAAATAATGGTCTATGGTTTGGCGGTGGTATGACCAAATCCAACGAATGGTCGTTGAGTAATGATAACTTTGATTTTGCACCATTTTCAAGTGGTGATTTGAAGGTCCATCAGTTTGGTAATGGTGTCAAGCGGTATTTCATTAATTCCATTGGAGTGGCCATACAGGTGAATGATAAGACACCGTTGCATGTATCGGTGAATACAACAACAAATGAGTTTTGTTTGAAAGCTCGAAATGATGAATTCACGTTTGTGAATCATCTGACCGAATTACCGGAGCTGGATTATAAAATTTGCACCACCGAAGATATGAAGAGCCTGCACATGCTGATGACCCAAAAAAGTCTATGGGATGGTCTGAAGGAGGCAGATATGGCAGTTATCTATTCGCTGATACAGGAACCAGTGTGGCGTACACCCCACGGTGAGGATATGGAGTCGTTAAATGAAACCACCATTTACAATTATTCCGAGGACCTCATTGCCATGGGTCTGCCATTGGGTCACATTTTGATCAATGAATTCTGGCAGGCGAATGTGGGTGATTTTACTGTGGATCAACGTCGTTTCCCCACTCTGAACAAGACCATTGATCTGTTACATCGTCGTGGTTTTAAAATTGTTTTTACAATCCAACCCTTCATCAGCACGGATAGTGAAAATTTCAAGGAGGCAGTACGCAAGAAGCTGTTGATCTATGAACGTCACTCGGAACGCAGCATTCCTGCCTTGACGCGTTACAAGAGTGCCACAAGTGCTGGGGTTTTGGATATAACCAATAATGCCTCTGTATTTTGGCTTAAGGAGAAATTGGAACGTCTAAAGGCTGAATATAAAGTTAATAGCTTCTATTTGGATCTGGGTACGGGGTACAATTTGCCCCATTACTATCAATGTCGCCAGACATTGGACAATCCCGACATGTATGCCAAACTTTTTACGGAAAGTCTGGAGTCGGTTGGCTTCATTGGTGTGTCCACGGCCAGTACGGTACCTAAACCCCCCGCTTTTCTTAGTACACCCCCAATTAACTCCTCTTGGTCTGGTCTGAAGGAAGTCATGTCGACGGTATTAAATTATGGTGTGATAGGCTATCCATTTGTCCTACCAGGAGCTGTGGGTGGTGATTATGCCTTGAACAAGACCATGTCGAAAATGATTTCATTTTATTCGTTGGGTGAACCGCCACTCCCCGATGAGGAGTTATACGTTCGCTGGCTACAGCTAATGACCTTTATGCCTGCCATGCAATTCAGCCATCTGCCAACCTATTATAAGGGTGATTATGTCAAGAATTTGGCCAAAGACTTGGCTTTAATACGTCAGCAGAATGTTATACCAGTTCTGCGTAAATGTCTCAGTGAATCGATGAATGAAGGTTTGCCCTTGGTGCGTCCGCTGTGGATGTTGGATCCCCATGATCCGGCATGTTTGAGTATATCGGATGAATTTTCATTGGGGGAAATGTTGATTGTTGCACCGATCCTGGAACCCAATGTGGAGGAGAGAGAAGGTAAGTTGCAGGTGTATGTGATAGATATAGGAAATGAGATGAACATACAAGATTTTGGATTGATATTATATCTTTAATAAAAAGGGCAAGAACGTACATTGTAAGACCTATTTCAGAAAGAACTGAAATAAGTTCTTGTTTTATAAATGCAAGAAATTTCCAGGAATTCCTCTAAAATAAAAAGGCTGGGTTTTTGGAAAAGGGTACGAAAAGTACTAAAATGCACTAAAGTCTGAATACTTTGTATTAGACCAACGGAATAAGCTAGAATTCTGAATATTGAAATGAGAGTCACTTGTGGAGTGCAGAATAGATGTACAAAAGGGTTTTTGGAAATTCGAACTTTAAAGCTCTAAAATAGTACTAAACTTCTAAAATCGTACCAGTTGGTTTTATTTGAACGGATAGAGCTAAAAACTTGAAATTTGATATGAAAATCAAGGCTGGAAAGTTAGTTTGATATATGAAGGTGGTTTTGGAAATTTACTGTACTAAATAGTACTAATTTAGGAACACTTTGGTTTAGGGTGAACGAATGAAGCTGGAATTTTTAAATTTTATATCGGGATCGTTGTTTAGTAATAGGTTTGTGTTAAAGAGGTGGTTTTGCAAATGTGAACTACAAGTGCACGAAAAGTACTAAATAGTACTATATTTGGTATAATTTAGTATTGGGTGAACAGATAATGCTTCAAATCTTTAATTTGGTATTGGAATCGATGAAATTTGATATGAAAATCAAGTTAGTTTGATATATGAAGGTGATTTTGGAAATGTATACTAAGCGTACGAACTGTACTAAATAGTACTAATTTAGGAACATTTTGATTTAGGGTGAACGAATGAAGCTGGAATTTTTAAATTTTATATTGGGATCCCTGTTGGTGGTAGGTTTGGTTGTGAAGAGTTTGTTTTGGAAATTTGTACTACAAGTGCACGAAAAGTACTAAATAGTACCATATTTGGTACAATTTGATACTGGGTGAACCGATAGTACTTGAAATCTGAAATTTGGTATTAGAATCGATGTTCCTGTTTAACCTGGACATATGGAGGTGGTTTCGGATATGTGTACTTTGATTGTACGAAAAGTACTGAGTGGTACAAAATTTGATATTTGTTGAAGAGATAGAGATAATATTCCGAAATTTGACATTTAGAGTACAGATATTTTCTGTCTTGGTGTTGGTTTGTAAATGCGTCCCATAATTGCACAAAAGGTACCAAATGGTAATTCATTTCGTATTGGTTGGAGGAAAACTTAATATTGAAAATATGATATTGAGTCCTCTGTCGGTATTTGGAATTGAGATATGGAGATGGTTTTGGAAATGTGCATTATAATTGTACGAAGTGTACTATATTTGGTTTTGATATGGATGTCATTGTTGGTGTCGGTAGTTGAGAGAAGTAGCTATTTTTAGAAATGCGTAATGGTACTAAATTTGGCATTGAGGGAAATTACAGAGCTCAAATCCTGAATTTTGATATTAACTTCATTGTTGGTCTCTGAGGTTGAGATAAGGAGATTGTTTTAAAAATGCGTGCTTTTACTGTACGAAGTATTTGTAAATTTGGCATTGTGTAAAGAGATAGAGCTGAAATTCCAAAATTGGCTATGGATGTCACTGTTGGTGTCTGTAGTGGAAAGAAGGAAGCGGTTTTAGAAATTCGTACAATGAACTTACGAAAAGTACAAAATTCCACAAAATGTGCCGTTGGGTGTTGGGATGGAGATGGAATTCTGAAATTTGGTATCGAGGTCACGGTTGGTGTATAGGCTGGAGATAAGGAGGAGGTTTTTGGACATGTATAGTATAAATTGGATTGGGTCTTAGAATAGGCCTAGAATTCTGAATTTGATGTGGAGGCTACTGTTGTTTTGGGTGAAGGCAGTAGATTTGGGTATCCGTAGTTGGGAAAAATAATAATAAGTACCAAATGACACTAAATTCGCCGTTGAGTGAATGGATAGAGCTTGAATTCTGAAATTTAATATTGAGGTCTCTGTTGGTTTTTATACCCTACACCACATAGTGGTAAGGGTATTATGTCTTTGTGCATTTGTTTGTAACATGAAGAAGGAAGCGAGATAGACCCATAGTTACTTTTGAGGATCTCCATAGAATCACTTTCTGAGTTGATTTATGCATGTCAGTCCGTCTGTCCATCCGTCCGTCTGTCCATGTATTCTTGTGAACAAAATGCAGGTCGCATTTATTATCCGATTGAAATGAAATCATATCATTTGTTTGGCCCATGGACGAACACTATTGAAATTGGAGATAATCGGTCAAAATTTAGATATAGCTCCCATATATATCATCGTCCGATTTGCTTTTTTTGTGCAACAAACGTGTAATATCAGTCCGAATAGTATAGAATTTTGCACATACAACCAGATTAGGCCTAAAAATAAGTATGCCAAATTTGATCGAAATCGGTTCAGATATAGCTATAGCTCCCATATATATTGTTCATCCGATTAGTTATTTTTGTCCTCCGCAGCCGTAATATGCACTCTGTAACAACAATATTTGAGGAAATATATCAAATACCTTTGCTAAATTTTATCGAGATCGGTTCAGATTTGGATATAGCTCCCATATATAACTTCGTCCGATTTACCTTTTATTGTGCACCAAACGTCTAATATTTGCCCAAATGGGATGAAATTTGGTACTTACGACCGATTGAGTCTAGAAGCTAGTATGTCAAATTTGGTGAAGATCGGTTCAGATATAGCTATAGCTCCTATATATATTGTTCATCCGATTTGTAGTATTTGTTACCCACAGCCGAAATATGCACTCCGTAACAACGATATTCAGGGAAATATATCAAATTAGGCCTGAAAATAAGTATGCCACATATGATCGTAATCGGTTCAGATATAGCTATAGCTCCCATATATATGGTTATATATATCTTTATATATCTTTATTCGATTTTAAATTAATTTAGCACCAAATGGGCAATACAAGTCCTAATTTAAAAGATACAAATGATTCGGTCCTTTGAACTTTAAATTATAATTATAATCATAGCGTGTATGATTGAATTTTCCCATAAAAACTTTTAATTGTTATGTGGAGCTCTACTAAATTAGCAAAGTGGTGTAGGGTATCAAAAAGTCGGCCTCGCCCGACTTTAGGACTTTCTTTACTGGTTAGGATTTAGATATGGTGGTGACCAAGTTTTGTTATGAAAAAACGTTGAAATAATTTTGGACCGAGAAAAAATGGATGTGGCACCATTGGGCCAGTGTTTACTGATATGCTCTTCGGTAAACTTCGAAATGAATTTGAATATTTTTTGGTGCAAAAATTAATCATTTTTCAATTATTCTTTTCGAAAACGGAAAACTTATATATGAATAAAGTGCTATCGAACTGGTGCAGCTGAAAAATTAGTACGGTGTATGAAGTTTTGTTTGGAAATTTTGTCCAAGAAATAATGACAAAATTGTGAATAATTAGTACTAAAATAAATTGGTACGGAACGGATCTAACATTTTAAGGTGGACTTTTCTTCTCATAAATATCGAGATTTTTTTTCTCGATGGACTAAAGATCTTGAGAAGTAGATTTTTGTCCAATGAAAAATCATTGAGAATCATATCATAAGATCTTCTATTGATAACTTTTTAGTAGACAATAATTAACGATATCTATGTATTTGAATTTTAATAACAATTTTTGTTTTTTAACTCAATTTCAGTTTATCTTCCGCAAGGTGTATGGAAAGATGGCATCGATGGCTCTTTGCGCAAGGGTAGCCGTTGGATACACAATTATAAAGTGCCCAAAGATAAAATTGCATTTTTCACAAAAATGCCAGACAATACTAGATTTTAAAATTTTATTTTTATAATTAGTTAAGATTGTGATAGATAATTAAAAAGAAGAAATGTATAAAAAAGCACAGTGAAATATGGTTATAACAGATCCATTATACAATATAAACGAATGTGTATAGACTAATTTCATAAGAAATGTAACCTAAAGTTATTTTTCTCAAGCGGTAGCTAAAACGATATGTTATAACTTTGTTTCATTGTAAACGTTTTTTATATAATATTAATGGCCTGGTTCTGGTATGTCGAATGAAATTGGATTTTTTATTTTTTTTTTTAAATATCAAAAAAAATCCAAAATCCTTGAAAATACGCATAGAATTGGTGTTTTTCTCTCGCATTCATTCGCATCGACATATATAAACAGGTCTTAACAAAAACTTAGTATTAACAAAAACCAAAAGAATTTTTTAACAAAAACCACAAAATATTTAAATAAATTTCCTTAAGTAGAACTACTTATATGATGTCGCAAATGCAAATGTATTATTATTGTTATATTTATAAATTGTTATACGATAAAAACAATGTATATTTTTGCAGATTTAGTAGAAAAATACATTCCTTACACATTTAATGTGACTTTATAAAATATCGAATAGTTTTTTCGTATTATTTGCTTTATGCAATGCATACAGAGTTTGCTAATCAAATCGTGTCCGTTTTATATATTTTTTTTTCTCAAATCTGAAAGGTGAGTTTTGTAACAATACATGGACGATATTATAATCATTCGCATATCAAGTTTGCAAATATGTTTCAAAAATCACTATTTATGGTTATGACCATGGTACAATGAAGAGAAGGTAGGCCAACTTTGAAAAAATTGCAAGTATAGAGGTCTACCTGTTTGGCTTGTAATGTCAGAATTAGTATCAAAACAATAAAAAATCAAACAACTTGTTGCAATTATTTTGAATAAATAATTGAAAAACGCGATAACTGAATGAAAGGTCAACACTTCTTTTCAAAATCATGTATTTTATATATCTCTAAAGGATTATTTCGCTAAAAAACTCTAGATTTTGTCGATGCATACGTTGAAATAAACATTTTGAAAACACCCAAATTTGAATATTTTCTGAACAATTTGTTTGTTATTGAAAAGAAAACACATACATAAACAAATAAAGATGACATATTAAGCCAAGAAAATAAAAAAATTAAAATCATATGGTATCATAGCCCTACCTTGATATCATTGTACCATGGTATCAATTTTGTCATTACAGATTGACCTCTTAGTTTCATTTGATTATTCTGGATAATATATAGGGTGAGATAAAAAAACTGCAACAAAGTCAAACGACATAATTTTTATTTTATTTTTTTAATTTTATTGAATGAAAACAAAATATGTCGGAAATAGCATCAAATTTTAAAATAAGTCTAGATTTGTTCGAATTGGTCACCTTTGGCACGAATTATGGCCTTCAAACGGCCAATGAAATCGTCACACGCTGCGGTATTTTGGCGCATTCCCGGCTTGAGGTGATCGACACTTTGGTATTAGTGCCATCCTTGCTTTCCAAAAAAAAAAAAAACAGACAAAATAGTCCAACGGACTGGTATCTGGAGATTTTGGTGGCCATTGTGCGCTGGAAATGAAGAGAGAAACCTGAGTGCGATGGTGCGAGTCCTGTTGGAAAGTCCAAGGTCTGCGGCCAAAACGTTTGCGTGTGCAAGGCAAGGAATATTTTCGAGACTATATTCGGTATTTATTCTGATGTCACGATCGATTAATATGAGCGGAGAGCGACCATCGGCTGTTATGGCGGCCCACACCATCACAATGGCCGGCGCTTGAGTTCTGGTGGCCAACCGATGGTGCACATTTTCAGCTGACTTCTTTGGCAAGTAAACACGATCATTTGTTTATTTACAAACTGCTGGTCAACGAATGTTTTCTCATTCCCAAGCGAAGCAACGCTTTAGCTCTTTTGAGTCTATTTTCTTTGTGTTGCGGTGTAAGTTCTTGCACTTTTTGAAATTTCAATGGCTTTACCCTGAGCTTATTTTTCAATATTTGTCGAATGGAATATTGCGATATGTTCAGATCACGAGCCATTTTTCGACCACTGCGATGCGGGTTTCGATCAAGTCTCTTCAATACTTTTCGAACCATTTCTGCTGATGTTGTTGTTTATTCCGTCCACTTCCTTGATGTCGGGCTACGCTACCAGTATCACGGTAACGAGCGATGGAACGAGACACATTTAAATGCTGGAGTGCTCTTGCTTGCTCGCTTGAAAACAAAATTAAAATAGCTGTCACTGGAATAAATTAACAGCTGTCGGACGAGCAGTCTGAAGTTAGCAGCACTTTTTTCATCTCACCCTGTAGCAAACATCTACGCAACAACCTACAACAGCTTACCATTATATTTAAAATTAATACTTTTGATCTATTCCAGAACTACAAGAATGTAATTTCTTTTTACTACCATAACCGATTTTCCGTTTATGATACCGAAAAAAATGCATTTGTAACCCCTAAAAATCGAAAATTAGAAAAAGAACCATGATATTTGGAATGTTTCTTTTTAAGTAGATCAATTATGTATTCCAATATCATGAGGAATTCGCGGAAGTTTACAGATCTACAGAAACTTTACCCCAAATCATAGTGTATCAAATAGTCGGGACCGCTCGGGACTAAAGTCTATACTTAGTTAAAAATTATTTTCTGAACGAGTTCTTAACGGAAAGACAAACTTTGGGAACTTTTATCATATAGAGAAAAAGAGCACTGAAAATTTGGTCTGGCAACACCCTAGCAATGAGATACTTAAATGAACGCCTGAAAATAGGCTTTATATATAGATTTACGATATTGAAGAAATTATTTTTATTGTGTTGTCGAATTAACCCATCCATTGTTATTTCGAAAGAGCGTTTAGACATCTTCCCATTTGGCACAAATACTACGATTTGCAAAGTTTAAACAAAATGTGATAAACCCTTCGATACTCCCTATAATACACACGAACCAACCAAACGAACGGATACCGCAGGGTCAGTGAAGTACTTAGATATCAAATCGGATAGAAAATATAATTTAAACTCAAAATATTTGTCTTCTCTTAGTTCTTTCTATATTTATTATTGAAATAGAAAAATTAAAATTTAATCATTCGGAGCAGAATACAAAATTAACATTTCCTGAAATTAAAAACTTACATTCTGGAGCTTAGCTTCTATTTACAACTACTTCTTGTTTTTTTTTTATTGCTATATTCTTCATAACGAAATATTTAGAAAATAAGTAATTAAAAACTTTTTTGAAAAGTTTACAAATGTCTAGACGACTTACATTACCTAGGAAAGATAAGGTTAGTTTAGAACTAAAAATGTAGAATTAAGTACACGTAGTTTTCTGGTTCATAAAAATAATGGAAATAAATAAAATAAATAAAATTAAAACATTTACATTTATACTAGACACATAACTTAAATGCTTGGCTTATTGATATATTGAATTAGAAATCAATCTTAAAACTAGTGAGTGGACAGTTTTTGATTTACACAAATTAATTGTCGAGCGCTGATGACTTTTCCCGTGAAAACATTAATCAAATGCTCTATATAATTCAGAAGTAAAACTTCCCGAATTAGTGCACAAATTTTAGATATTCTTTTTTATGATAAGTATGCTGAAATGCGTCCAGCTTTATAAACTGTTTATGTTTAGATGGCAAGGCTCAAACTTCCTAACAGGTCACAAAGAATTATTTCTGCTTCAGCATTACAAATTTTCTTTGTCCACTACAATCTTAAACTAAATCTTTAAAATTATAAGCTTAACTAAAACGAGTTTTTAATTTCTCTCTTATACTACAAACGGGCAAATTGGATTCACAAAAATCCGTATCAATAGGTCGTGTGGACGGGTTACATTTGTCATCGTCCATGATGACATCATGTTGATCCAGACACATTACGGAACGTCTACGCACCGGTAATGGTGTGTCGGGACTTTTACATGTGACCGGACAGAACTGCCATGGACCCGTCAACCAATGGGCTGGGCAAGGTGTGCTATTGCATTTTTTCGTCTGCCGCAAAGGGCGTGGATTTTTGGCAAATGCCCAACACAGTTCAATATCGGAAGTTTCTGAAAGAAAAATGTTCATTAAAGTGATATTCGAAAATTATGTATGTCACGGCCTTACCTCTTCCATTTTCATAGCAAATAGGCTCACGATATTGCAAGCCACCACCACAACTAACCGAGCAGTGAGTCCAATCGCTTAATTTCCATAAATAATGTTTGGAAGTGCTGGCATTCAGGGCAGGCAATGTAAACTCATAGTAGACACCCTCATTGGGTTCATCGCCTCTGACAATGATCTAAAAACGAAAAATCGTAGATAAATTTTAAAATCATCTTCAAAAAACCAAACTTAAATTTACTCACATAAATAGCAATGGAATGTTCAATAGGTTGTGGTATTTTAATAATTTCCTGATCATCCACCCGATCATAGAAACTCTCAGCACCTGCAATGAAAAACTCTCCCGGCATAGATATCAAACTATCACCATTCAAATAGAACGTGCTACTATTCGCCTTGGCCACACTAAGGAAATGCGGCGAATTGCCCAATTCCTTGATAATGATGTGACGTGCCTTTGCCGGCAAAACGACAATTTCCACATAACCTTCTGTTACTTTCAGTGTTTCATTAAATACTGCCTTAACCGGTTTACATTGATCACCACTGCCACCACAAATGCCGCATCGATCCTCCTGCATATCCGAATCTACAATCCAATCGCAACCAACTTTCTAAAGAAACGAAAATTTAGTAAAACTAAAAAGGGATGTAGAATATATTTTCCATACTCACCCTGCAAATGCCATCGATACACATGTTGTTGGTACCCAAGGTACAGGGAGTTCCATCCAGTACCATGTCACCCCAGTTGGCAATGATGGTATCATCCACATCGTTACAGTACAGTTTGCAGGGATTCTCTAAAATAGGCATAAAATAGAAAATTAGGAAATCTTTTGCTCCTTTATGTAGGAAGTCTAAATGTAGATTTTAGGTCTATAGAAGGTTTAAGAAATGGAAAACTATAAAAAGCCGGTTTTATATAATTTGGCGTATGACCTATATAAGGTCTGGGAAAGTTGTTTTACTCCTACCAGAAGATTTGCTTTCGATGCTGATGCTGAAAACTCCAAAGCCCGCCCATTATCCGAGGCAAGCAAGAATACAAATGCCTATATAGCATGAGATTCAAAGATTCTTTATATTACCTTCACGAAGTCGTAGGACACTTGAAAACGTAAACTTCAATGACCACGGCCTTCAGACTAGGAATTTGCGATAATTTTGTCGACTTTCAGACATAGATTATCAAGAAATTTTTCAGTCGTGTACCTATCAGACAATTTTTATGAACGTTCATGGGTTATTTTTTAAGAACATTACTAGGGATATTGGACACTTAAAAGGAGCTTCCCTAAATCAAGAGTAATCCTAAGATTTTGAAGAAACTTTCGCGCTTAGCACGCCCAATGGAATTAATTTATAGATTTGGAAACTATTAGAAGGTTTTCCGACGAGGACTTAAAATTAAATTCTAATTTCGAAATGTTTTTAGACCGAGGCATAGATTCCAACGCCATTACCTAAGTAATTAAGTCGTCTACCTTTGAGACAACTTCAATGAACTTTCAAGTACTAAGCACTAAAACCATTGCCATGGATTTTGGACATTTAAAAGGAGCTCTCTTAAATCAAGAGTAATATTAAGATTTTGAAGAAAAATGGGCGCTTAGCATATCCAAAAGCTTCTCAAGAAGGTACTGTCCAATTCGGCTTTAAATCGGAATTAAAAGCAAGAGCAAATCCAATTTAACAGCAAAGTAAATCTGAGAATACTGCGACTCCTAATGACAACCAGATGGCTAAAGATCAGCAAGGTACTTCCAAAATAATATCTATTCTACATAGGAGGAAAAAAAGGTAATACGGAGAATGTTGTCAAAGCCAGCTCAGAAGAGTTAACCCACTAGCCCCAAGAAATGTCGGTCCAGATGATGCACTTGGATTGGATCTAGGAAAGCCTGAGAGCATCATGGTTTCTGTGGCTGTGTACTCAGACAACCAGTAGTTCTCTAGCGACTTCATCTTCAAGGCAGTCAATCATGCTATGAATAATGTTGTCCAAAAAACTCACTTGAAATTCACCTTGAAACACCCCCTAACGCATGCCAGTGGAAGAATGGAGGCCGCAAGTGTGCCGCTTGGTGAATATTAATTTCAATTTCCGCAAAACATTTGCTACTAAATTTCCCCTGTCCCTCTAGAGGTTAGAACATAGTTTTGCTCTATTTAAAATAATAGTTCGATGCTTTGAACTAATATGTCCGTGACAATGACAATGTGTTTATCGAATGAGATGCCAACGTTCATCACGCACCTTCCTTAACAGGATTTTTTACTATATTAAAACTCGAGAAATACTCATCACATATAGAAGTCTTGATATAGAAATTTTTCGAAAGGACTGAATTTATACTTACGTTTGTCAAAGAACGGCAACCATTTGTAAAAATGTCCCTGATATGGTTTATCATTATATTTTTCACATTGCTGGGCACGGAAGCTTAGCTCATTCTTGGGGCAAGGTTGGTGATTGCATATTTTATATCTACAAACAAATCATATTAGAGTATTTATTTAAATCCTTTAATAAATTAATCATACCTCTTCCTCTCGCCAATACAAAATGTGCCACCATTGGCTGGCCTGGGACTATCACATTCACGCTGCTGTATGGAAACACCACCGCCGCAGGTGCGTGAACATTCACTCCACTCAGACCAATTTCCCCAGGAGCCATCAATTTTCTCAAAAGGTTCAATGCGAACACATTTACCATTTTGACACCACTAAAAAGGATATTAGAGAGGGAAAACTATACATTCGTTCAAGCCGCAATGGATTTGTTAAAAAAAAAGAATTACCACAACAACAAACCTTACGTTTTCCACACAATGTTCCCGGGGCTGTTGGCCGCATATTTGTAATACATTCACCGTTGACACGACACCATAGAGTCGAACATATTTCATTCATGGAAGAGCAAGCCTCCACCTCACTATCCGTGACATTATATTGTAATCGGCATTGCAATTCAGCATTGTACTTTTTGCCAGGCATTTCATCCGGATAGACATATTCATTTAAGGCCGTCGGTTCATCATCCAGGCAATCGCCCAATCCTTGACTGTAATCAAATGGAGGAAATGTTTGATTAGTTTAATATTCATCATAGAGTGACCTTATTCATTCGACTTACTCCAAAAAGTGTGTTATAAATTTCCGACTACAATTTGACCAACAAACTTGCAGAGTATCAGCACCGAAAGTGGGCGTCATTATGTGTACTATGGAACCCACACGTGGATGACAACCAATTTTTGCCGTATCGTGAAACATGCCAAAACTGCAAATGGGAAAACAAATGAACATTTAATTCGACATTTTTAATATGGAAAATAAGTTAATTAAGTTTAAATATGTGTGCAGATAATAATGCTTCCCAAAACTATTTTTTTTTAATCTAACGAAAAAAGTGAAAATATGCAATTAATTGAATTTTTTTAAGAATTTGCTTTTTAAGAGCTAAAAGAAAATTTTGAGACATCATTCAAGATTTTGAATAGCTTTGAATTTTAAATGTTCATATATTTTAAAGATATTTTCTAAGACCTTACATGGCGAATAATAATTGGTAACGAGATTTGTAATGAGTATTTTGTGGTGAGAGTATATTCTCGGAAAATTTTCAATTTTTTTAAGTATTGAATCTATTCCTAGGTCCTCTGGATGAGGCTTTTCTTTGTTTATTTTCCTGTCTTCAGAATTGATTTTTAAATCCCTTTCCTAGACCATTAGACTTGAACTTTTAACATCATTCTCTAGGCCTTCAGACTCAGATTTTCAAGACTATCTAGGGACTTATGAAGTGGTTTTTCAAGACCATTCAGTCATATTTCTTTGGGCCATTTCCAAGGACACCAGGCGTGTATTTTTGGACATTTTCGAAGGGCACTGAACGTGAATCTTTAAGACCTGTCTATGGTACTTAAACTTGGATTTGAAGGGCATTTTCGAGGGATTCATTCCTTGATTTGAAAACCACTTCGAAGCTTTTCAGACGAGGTTTTAGTGATAAATTCTAACCTCTTTATACGGCGATTCAAGGCGTAAATTCTAACGATATTTCCTAAGTCCCCTATATCTGATTTTAAGGCCATTTTTATAAACCTTCAAGGGTTATTTTTGAAGACCATTTCCAGGGTCCCTGATGCAGATTTTAGGACTATTTCTAAGACTTTCAAATGAGGATTTTAAAGTCTGTTTTTCAGTCATAAATTTTCAGACCATGTATACTAAATTAAGATGTGCATTTTTTTAAGCCTCTTTCATATTTTCTATGGCTTTTTAACACGGATTTTTAAAGGAAAATCCAAGGCCTTTAATCATGGTTTTTTTTTAAGACCATTTTTACGGTTTTCGGACGAGTATTTCGAGTTTTGGGACCTTCAGACGAGGATTTTTAAGTCTACTTCCGAGAGGCTTCCAACTTTCCTTTAACAATCATTACCAAGAAATTCAAATGAGGATTTTTTTTAACAATATGAGTTTTGGGATTCTGTGCCCTATGCAAGATCTGAAGACGTGTATCTTTAGCAGTTTAAGACCATTTCTGAAGTTCTAAGAAAGGAAATGCATCATGGATTTTAGACCTATTCTAAGGCTTTTAGACGAGTATTGCGAGACCATTTTTAAGGCTTTAAATCATGAATTTTTATAACATATAAGACCTGAAGACGTGTGTTTTTAAGCCCATTTCTCGGCCTTTAGATGAGTATTTTAAGCCAATTTCCGAGGATGTCAAACAAGGATTTTAAAACTATTTTTAAGGGAATAAGTTATGGATTTTTCAGACCTTTTTTAAGGCTTTAAGACGAGTAGTTCGTGGCCATTTTTAAGCAATGCCCTTTTCAAGGCATACAAATGAGGTTTTTTAACACTTTAAGTCATAATTTGCATACCATGTGAGCCCATATCTAGACCTCCAGATGATCATTTATAAAACAAACTCCAAGGCTCTCAACGTGGACCTACCAAATATCCTGCAGACAAAATATACATGTGAATATAATTATACCCTACAACACTATGTGTTGGGGGTATTATAAGTTTGATTGGACCAAAAATTATGTAACACCTCGAAATATGGAGTTGGGGTTAAGGTCAGAATAGAACCCTATTTCTTTTGGAGATGATGGCACAACATGTAGGGGTCGAAATGGACCAAAAGCTGAAAAATTCCTGGTTTTGCAGTTGCTCTACAGGTCGCAATTATGGACCAATCGACGCGGAAAATAGCATGGGGCTAGAGCTTCGGACTGGGCAGAAGCCTTCCAATTTTGATGGTCATCGGGTAATATTTAGTGGTTGAAATAGGCCATAGCATTTATGATAAATAAAAGTCAAATTTTCTATTAAACCGCGAATATTTTTAATGCGGCTAAATCCCAAATAGACGAACAGGGCAATTCTGACCATTACGTAGATACCGAGAGTAAATATATCGGATATATATAGCGAAATATATACAATGTGTATAAACAAAAGAAGGGGATGTAAGCTAAAATGCTTATATCTCAAGAATGGCTGGACCGATTTCGACAAATTTTGTCAATTCTGAATGTCATCCTGGCATAAAAGAATAAAATCTAAAAAAATCGCATAAAAAGATGCCGACAATGATGTTAATATAGATTTTGTAGTATTTTGTGACATTGTTTTATTTTTTCACATTTTTTATCGTATGCGATTTTTTCAATTTGACTTATAATATTGAGGTGTACATTTTGTAATATTTTTCACCTTACAACACAGGTTGGGGCTATTATACACATATTGCAATGATCGTCCGATCCTCACGAAAAAGGGTGAGAGTTGGACAGAGAAGGGCTAGGCCTATTGCTTTCAAAGATGTCCGAAATATATTTAGGGGTTAAAATAGACCAAAATCTGAAAAATTTCCTGATTTTGCACTTGCTCTATAGGCCACGATTATGAACCAATCGACGCGAAAATTTACATGGAGTTAGAGTTTTGGAGTGAGCAGAAACCTACCGATTTGGGCGACGCTAAATTTTATGTAAGAAAATAGGAACATTTACACTAAACCGCGAATATTTTCAATCCCAGCCAAATCACAAATACATTAAAAGAGCACTTCTGACCATTACAGTGATGCTAATAGCCAAGAAATAGGATATATAGCAAAATAGGTACAATATATATGTAAAATAATTGATCTTATTTATTCTGCTTATAAATCAAGAACCGCTGGGCCGATTTTTACAATTCCCATAAATTCGGAATGGTCCCTTGCCAGAAAACGATAAAATCTAAGAAATTCGCGGAAAAATATACCAATAAAAAAGTGAATATCTTTTGTCGATTTTTTTCAATTTTTGTCACATTTTTTATCGCATGCGATTTTTTCAATTTGACTTACAATTTTGAACACCCCCAACACTACGGTTTGAGGGTATTATATGCATGTCGCAATTATCGTCCGATCCTTTTTTTCTTAAGATGGACATTTAGAGGTGCAAATTGACTAAAAAAAATATTTTTTCTAATTTTGTAGTCGCTCTATAGGCCACAATTGAAAACTTATCGACACGGAATTTAAGAACAGGGACATTATTTTTTTTTTTTCAAAACCGAAATCTTCCAAAATTGATTTGGACAAAAGTGACTTCGAACATATATAATTTTCATTTCAGAGCTCTCAGCTTGTTTAAGGACTTTCTTTATTTACAAATCTGCAGATTTCAGAACTCTCAGCTTGTTTAAGGACTTTCTTTATTTACAAATCTGCAGATTTGAGACTAACTGCTTAGATTGCCTTTAACCGACTTCTACTTGTCTAGCCAGCATAATTCTCCGGTAGATTACTGTAAAATTGCCCACCAAACGCACACGAAGATTGTATGATTGTGTTTATTTCCGTTTTAGTGGAGGTTGTTGTTTTTCGCATGTAGTTCTTTTTTTTTTTCAAGACAAGCTTGTAAGTCTTATACAACATACATACACACGAAAACACAATGACTGACATTATTTGTATAACAGCTACCTCCACATACTGTTGCGATATTTTTGGTTGTCTGCTGCCATACGGCAAACAAAAACAAAAACAAAGCCAGAAAACACTCAACAGGTGGCGGTAGTGATCTTAAATCAACAAGTTCACAAGTGTTTATGAATCCGAATCTATGGGTTTAAAGTGTTTGCCACTTGTCGTTTGTTGCTGATGTTTGCTTCCATTTTTAATTATCATTTTTTTGCTGTTGTTGTTGTTGTTTGGTTCTTCAACAACAAGTGCTTATTTATGCATAGCATTTAAATTAATTTACAAATGTTATTGATTGATCTGATAATGTTATTCATTTGACAGCTTATTGTGCGGCTAGTGCGTTTTATTGAATGAAATGTCAGCAAAGAAATATGAAACAAAAAAATCGTAATGTCAAAATTTATTTGTTGAGATTTCAACATGTTAATTTATTTGACATTTTTTGAGTTGATAATAATAATGATATTTGAGAAAAGAACAAGTAAAAAAACTGTAAGTTCGGCCGGGCCGAACTTTTAATACCCTCCACCATTTGGTACAAATTTGGCGATTCCCAAAAAAAAAAAAAAAAATAAATAAATAAAAAAAAAATACAATCAGTGAAAAATGCTGTTAAAATCTTAAAAATACCGAATGCCTACACGACGACGTGGACCTGCATAGGCAACTTTTGTCATAAGTTATTACAATATTTAAATGCGAAACTTGAAGAAAAATCTGTTTATGATGTAGCTAAAATCATCAAAATGCCGAATATCGGGGGGTACGGTATATGGGGGCTATACGAAGACGTGGACCTGCACAGACAATTTTCTGGCATGGGCTGAACTATCCATTACGAACTTCACATGCGAAATTTGAAACAATCCCGGTAAATAATGTCGCTAAAATCATCAAAATACCGAATATCGGGGGGTACGGTATATGGGGGCTATACGATGACGTGGACCTACATGGCCCATTTTCTGTTTTATGCTGCAGTATCTATTACGAATTTCAAATATCAAATTTGGAACGATTCCGTTAAATAATGTCGCTAAAATCATCAAAATACCGAATATCGGGGGGTACCGTTATATGGGGGCTATACGAAGACGTGGACCTACGTGGCTAATTTTTTGACTTAGGATGTAATATCCATTACGAACTTCAAATACCAAATTTGAAATGATTCCGGTAAATAATGTCGCTAAAATCATCAAAATACCGAATATCGGGGGGTACCGTTATGTGGGGGCTATACGAAGACGTGGACCTACATGGCCCATTTTCTGTTCTAT